AACTCCCGGGCTCAAGCGATTCCCACCTCAGCCTCCCTAGTAGTTAGGACTACAGGCACGTACTACCATGCCCAGCTAATTTTTAAAACAATTTTTTTTTGTAGAGATGGGGGTCTCACTGTGTTTCCTAGGCAGGTCACAAACGAACCTCCTGCTTATTTTGTCAACACTCAAAATGGCTTGAATTTAAATGAATGTATAAATTTAAAGGAAAAATTTTCCATTCTGCCTGAGGAGGAAGAATACCTCTGTGAGGAATAATCTCTTTGTTACTATAGCAATAGTTTAATTGGGTTAAAAGTAATATATAGTTTTCTGTTCTCCCTAGAGTATTATGAATATTGTGTAATTTTCAGGATAGTGTTTATTTACAAATAATGTTTTGAGCATGGAATTCCCAAATGATAGAAATCTAGCCATTTGTATCCAGGTTTAGAGTGGCAACGTAGTGGAAGGAATATTTTGTACGTGCTTTGGGTTTTTATATGAATGATCCTGAATAAGTTGCAACCTTGAAGAGCCCGATTACATACTTAATAAAAGGAAAATATGCGTATCTTATAGGGTTATGTGAGAGTTCACTGAGGTACTATATATAATATGCCTAATACAACGAATGGTATGTTTTTGGCTGGCATGCCATTGTTCAAGGATTTATTAAATACCTACTATGTACCAGGTACTATGTTATGTTAGGTAGTGGGTATGTGATGGTGAACACTATAGGCTAAGAAGGATAATATAGGGTGATGGTAGAAAATAGTGAGGGGTCCTTTTATTTGGAAGTCGAAAAAACCTCTTTGAGGAAGCTTAAATCTGAATGGAGTAGATGGCTGCTTATATTAAGGAACCTGCATGTGTAAGTCAAATGAAATGAACGTCTTTAACTAAAGCTAGACGAGCTGATGATTCTTTACAATATTGAGAGGGACAGTTGTTTTAATGATGTAGAATATTGTGGAAGGAGACTATTATTTCTGGCCCCTTCAGCAACACAGCTCACAGAATCAGTGGGTTAGCAGAAAATAAATAACAAGATAATATAAATCATGGTTGTTCAAAGTTTGTGTTTGTTACCCATAGGCCTCATACAGAGTTGGCATTATAAAGTAAATTCAAGGATAAAGACTGTGTATTTGCTTAAATCATTTGGAAACTAATTTTGAATAGAGTTTGAATGAATAGTAAAGAAATTTAAAGATTATAGGCTTTTTTGCACAAGGGAAAGGGGAAACCCTAATAGAATAGAACCACGTCTAGTAAACACCTGAAGTAGGGGGGAGAGAAACACCTGAAGTGGGGGAGTGAAAGTAGATAGTGGTAGGAACACAAGACATAGCAAATGGTTTTTATTTACAGTATATTCTTTGTTCTCTAGAAATTGCAATCAGTACCATTATAGGGAGATTACGAAGTTCCCTCTTTTCTGTTCTCCCTTTCTTTATTTTAAAATGTGTGGAATAAAGCTGCCAGATTATCTTTGGAGGTCTAGCCATATTAGAGGCAGTAATTATTTGTGTGGTTTTAACAACAGCAGAGAAGGCCACATTTTTCTAACTTTTGGGAACGGTGACACTTGTAAATACATGGTTAATATATTAGTGTTACATATTACTAATTCTTTCTTTTTCTTTTTGAGATGGAGTCTTACTCTGTTGCCTTGGCTAGAGTGCAGTGGTGCAATCATAGCTCACTGCAATCTCAAACTCCTGGGCTCAAGCGATCCTCCTGACTCAGCATCCCGAGTAGCTGGGACTATAGACACGAGCCACCATGCCCGGCTGATTATTCTATTTTTAGTAGACAGGGTCTCGCTCTTGCTCTGGCTAGTCTTGAACTCCTGACCTCAAGTGATCCTCCTGCCTTGGCCTCCCAGAGTGCCTAGGATTACAGGTGTGAGCTACCATGCCTGGCCATTACTAATTATTATTAGTCATGTGAGCAGATAATGTAACTTAAACTTTTAATATTATTTTTCTTTAAGCCAAGGGAAGAGATGGTGTTGAGTGGAAAATATAAATCTGGGGAACAAATTCTTCGTCTGGCCAATGAGAGATTTGCTGTTCCAGAAAT